GTATCGTTATTTTTGGAGTTAATCACTAACATTTCCTCGTTTCTCTGCTCTGTCAAAAGGAGTTACCTAGGCTTTTTTTACGTAACTGTCTCATTAAAATAAAAAAACATATTACATCTAGAACAAGCACCCAAAACAAGTAACAAGAAGTCCCAGTTCAGTTGCTTTCACGATACAAGTGTCATACAACTACTAGATTTGAAGTGTCGTACAGAATTTAATAATAGTTAATCCTAGTGTATGTTCACACTTTACTATCAAAACCACCATTTCGACCACCCATGTGCCAGTTTTCAGTGTTTGGGCGAGCGGTCAATGTTTTCAATGAGCGAGCGAAAAAAAAGCGCGATTAAAATGCGGTCGGTTTCCGGTCGGACAAGACCGTGTGGTCGGAAATTAAGCGATAAGCGGTCGATGTAAAAGCGGAAGGTTGGGCGAAATGAGTACTGTATGACCATGTTTCTCCGACGAAGTCTCGACTGACAATAATGCTGACAATGGACGTTAGATAAACACGCGTTGTTTGCAACTGGAAGCTTATCACCCGTTATATCAGAATCGTCAACAACAGAGTATACAGATAAGATGTTATCATTTAAACCCTTTCAAAGATAAACATTATGCAAATATCCACGAAACGGCAGTTGTAGTCTTTTCTGCTAGTGTTTTAAAACACTAATTTGAGCAACGTTATTTCGCAATTTCGATCTTTTGTAAACCTGGGGTGATGTATCAAGGTCTAAAGTAACCGTTTTATCAATTTTTGAAAAATCAAGAAAAAAGTGAAAATTTCCCTTCTCGCTACCTTAACTGTTTTTCAAAACTCTATAAAACCATAATTTCTCTTTAACAAATTTCGGTTCAAAATTTTACAGATTTTTTGTGTATCTATCTACAATTATCAATTTTGGACTGAATTCAATTCCCCATTAGCGACAGGTTGTGATTAAAATTATAGAAACAATGTATTTGTGCCTATTTTGTGAAAGGTGACACTCATTGACATCGGAGTTCAAGATGATAAAAATAGAATAATAACTAAACCTGGCTCTTAGAACGGGATCCACACCAACAGTGGGTTCATCTAAAATCAACAACTCAGGTTCATGCAGCAGAGCTACAGCAAAGGAGACTCTTCTAGATTGTCCACCACTGAAAACAAATATCATACTA